GGGCAGCCCCGGGGGAGATGCCGGCCGGCCCCTGCCCTGGCCCGGCCTGGCAGCAGGAAGCACCACGCACGGGGATGCCGGCAGGAGGCTCCTGCCGGCGTAGCCATGGCAACACCAAGTAAATAAAGCACCTTTTCAACGGGCACATTTGGTGGGGAGGGGGCCGCAACGGAGGGGAGCGAGAGCGCCGGAACGGCCAGGGTGAGTGCAAGGAGCCCCCGTCCACCGAGAGCGAGGGTGCCTGTCGCGCCGTAGGGCAGCGTGCCCGTCCGGTTGGTGCCGGGGGATGTCTCGTGTCAAAGCCGAACCCCGAGGCAGCGCAGGGGAGCAGCTCTTGGGTACCCGGCAGCTTGCGCCAGGCTACGGAGGGGATGCTGGGGCACCGCATCCTGCCACCGCTGCACCCCCCAGCTACCCTGTGCCCGGGGACCATTGAGGGGGCAGATGTGCTTCCTCGCCCATAAATCCCCCTGGATTGCAAAAGCTTGGCGCTTTCCCCCTACCACCACGCAGAGCGGGGCCTCGGGGCTGAAATGCAGTTGATGAAAGCGCTCGTGCAGATCGACTCGACAGAGCTTGTCTGTCTAACGTAGGGAGGGATCGTTGCTCGCGGGCGTGGGTAGAGGAGGGCTCCTTCCCAGCCATGTTTAAAGCACGCTGGCCTTGGCATCTGGTCGGAGCCTGCCTCACTGGCAGGAGCCTTGTTTAGCTCTGCTCACACCTGTGCTTTTTGTCTCTCTTTTTTCTTTTCCACCCCCCCTCTCTCTCCCCACTAGCTGCTGCTAGAAGAATACGCGAACAGCGACCCCAAACTGGCACTTACAGGCATTCCCATCGTCCAGTGGCCCAAGAGAGATAAGGTAGGAGCTGCGAAGTGGGGACCTGGGTGGGAAATGCGTGTGGTTGAGCTGATTACCTGCCCTTGGCTGAGTCGCCGCCTGTGACTGGCGTGCAATGGCACCGCTTCCGCACCTGCCTCGGCAGCCAAAGCCGGGGGGTGGAAAGGGAGCGGTGCAGAGGCAGGCCGTGGGGCGCAACCACCTCCGCAGCACTGCGGTCAAACCCGTTTGCTGGCAGCGGTGGAGGTCTCCCACCGTGCCGGTTACACCGGCTCAGCCAACGGGTGATAACTGGGTCAGCCCCAGCTGCTCGGTGCGCTCCAGCCCCTTGGTCGTGCTCAGAGGAGCCGGAGCCCTGCAGTTGGTGGAAGGGGTGATCCTCTAAAGGGCGCTCTCCCGGCAGCTCTTTGGCTTGACAAAGGAGTCCTGGGTGGTACAAGTAATGTTGTGTGTCAGGGGAACGTATTGCTATTGCGTTCCCCAAGGGATGAAGGGTGAGGTGTGGGGGTTGATGATCACCATCAACCCTGCCTCTTTGGTCGGCAGGCCAGCCCCTCACTGCTAGGTGAGCGTGCCCCTTGGTCCCTGCCCCTGCCAGCACGCTGCCCGCGCTGTAGCGTTGGCTCTTGCAGCCCCAAGGAAGGCAGCTCCTGGGGGTCTCTACCTGCAGATAGCAGCCAGCTTCTCAGGAAAGGGACCTTTCAGTGTGCCTCTGCCCTTCCCTCTCCAGCTGTGCTCGTAACCCAGGGCCCAAAGCTGGGCCACAGCCCGGGCTGAGCTCGCTGGGCAGATGGAGGCGAGGAGCAGCCTGCCTCTGGCCGGCCGGACTTCCCCTCTGCAGGCTGCCTTCCCGTGGCCCGCCAGGACGGCTCCCGTAGGTCACTGTTTCCTTCCTGCCAGGAGACGGGCTCACGGGCAGGCGTATGGGAAGAGCAGGACCCCGTTGCACTGGGGAAGGGTGGGTAGCACCCCGTCTGGGTGTCTGGAGACAAACAAGCCTCTTGGATTGCCCTTTGGAGGTGCCTGTCTCTGCCGGCGTGCCCTGCCAAAGGGGATCCAGCGTGATTTCCTGGTCCTTTGGCAGCACAAGTATCTCAGGCAGCTTTTCTGGGAGAGGAGACCTGGAGACAACTGCATGCTTTGGATGCAGCACTCAGATGCTTGGCGCGTCCCTGACCCTGTCCTTGTGTGGGGTTTTTTGGGTGCCTGCCCTTCCCCAAGCCCATCAGCCGTGGTGCAGGCAGCATCACGGCCGATCCCAGAAGGATGCTGCAGCCAGCGTATTTGCTGTGAGGGCTGATGGCACGCGTGGTGGCAGGTGTCTGCTGGAGAGCTGTGCTGTCCCTCCTGCAGTGT